GTTCCCAAGTCTGCCTGGCTCTCACACAATACCCAACAGCCTGGAGCAAGGCCTTCGCCCCACACACCCTTTTCAGGGACGTGTCATTTCTAACATCAAGCTAATCTATACGTTGCCAAGGCTTCCCCTTTATCTGCCTTTACATCTTATGAACTGCATGGATTTACCACATTTTTTTTATCTGAAAGACAGAAAATGGTGGTTTTATTGCCATACAATCAGATTACTGCTGCCAGCTTCTCTATGCCTTTTCTACCGTACTTCAATCAAAAGGGATCAGTTTCTTTATGCTCTACCCTTGATTTACTTTACATCTGTAAAGACGCAGTCTGGGTTGTAATCCCCTTATTAACTATGACCAGGGTTGATTTGCCTAAAAATAAAAGCAAATTGTGTCAGACCCTTTCACTTTGTTTTTGATTCCGAACTACAAAATGGATTACTAAAGAAATCTTCAGAGTTCACACGGCTGGTATAGTGCTGAATTTAAAATGAGAATTAAACAAGTTAAACAGGGGAGCCGTGTCAACGGTTTACGTCTCCCATCACGGGAAGGGCTGACTGCTTGCTTTTGTATTCTTCGGCTTTATGGAGACAATGAAACCACAGGAGTTTTTCCAAGCTGTTCGGAACACGTCTCATTTGCTATCCTTCCTTTTCGGCTGTTCTTATTCCTCGCCGGGCCCCCTTCTAATCCTCCCCTTTAATGGGGGAGGGGTCCTACCTAGAGAGAGCTAACCCCTCTCTAGAAGCTCAGTTCCACAGAATCTGCACATTTTAATCAAAATATTTCAAATAGCCCAACACTTCTCTTTAACAAAGGGTGATCTCACAAGCAAATCTATGCAGATGTTTAAGTGACCTGAAAAACAGGTTCTTCATGTAGGCAGCAAAGGCAGGCAGAAACAGTTTCATCATCTTTTGGGGAAGGAGGCGTCTTAGTGTCCAGTTTATAATTAGATATTTGAAGAATAAAGTTTTCACTGGAATGTCAGGAAATAATGTTCTTTAAAATGAATCTCTTCTCAGGGTCTACATCCTATATTTCCTGTTCTCTGCCACTCCCACTTCTGTGACGCTGCCCTGAAGTCAAGCAGGGATGGGGAAATAGTCTCCCATTCCGTGAAAGTACTCTGAAATTTGGATCCAAGTTAGGTGACACATTAAGTTCCTGGGAGCAACCCGGAATGTTTCGCTGACAGTTAGACAGGAAGGATTTAGTGACTCTGGTGCCCACGCTGGTTGAAGGAGGTCATCATGTGGACCCACCAACCGGATTCATTTTAGTAAGTGCGAAGAGGTTCTAGGAAAGCTAATTAAACCCACCAGTTCTCCAGCAGACTAGGGAAACCATTCCAACATGTGGTTTCTAGGTAGTCCCTGGGGGTGGCTAATTCACCTGTCTTCAAACTCCAGCAACCAAATCTGGACGTAGTGGAATGCGGGGGTCATTTGCATTTCTTTGCATTGGTAGGACAAGTGTCAACAGCTAAGCTTTGTGAAGGGTTTAGAACCAAGTGCCCAGTAAATCATCCTAACCTTGGCCCTCTTTTCTGGAGCTGGAAGCTGTAATTGCTGAGGTTAAGAAGTGCAGTCCTGGGACACTCAGACCCTCATCTGAAGAAGCTGCCAGGTTAGTCTTTGTGTCCTGACTGGCTCTGCTGTGGAACAGGAAACCCACTACCTACAGTTTATTATCCTGACAAAATGTGAGAAACGTGGAGGAGACAGTAGCCATCCCACTCCAGGGCTCCCTGCTTCATCTCTCTCTGTTAAAACCGACAAGGACAAAATTAACCAAAGCAAATGGTAGAGTGGAGGCACCGTTCAAGGTGATAATCGTTCACGGTTGGGTCGGCATTTATTTTTCTACAAAAATAAGAATTCCAGACACAATAGCAGGTAGGCTGGTGCATATGTGTTATTGAACAGCTTTTTAAACAGTTCTAGCCATTGTAGTTTAGTTTATCAATTTGACAGGCCCGTATTTATCCAGGGTCTGACCTGGGGGTGGGGGGTAGGCCAGCGTGTTTCAGGTTATCTGGTTATTATCCAGCCATTCTTTTGTATCAAGCCAATCAATTTCAGGAATTCAGCGTTATATGGGGGAAAAACTACATGGGAAAAGCACAACGCTTTGTAAAGTAACTAGTATGTAATACTTACAAAATAAAACCTCCAGACATAAATTAATACTAGAATGAAATTTTCGAAGGTGTAATTTATCCTCAAATACTAAGCCAGTGTAGCATTATTAATCCTAAAGTGAAACTACTATTCATCAAAACAAGTGGCCACAACCAAAACAAAACAAAACAAAAAAAAAACAAAAAAAAAAAAAACAAAAAAACCAGCATCACTTTATTTTGGCAAAAACACTATGGCAGAGAGAGAGGTTCTACTGAAGTGTTAATTAGAAATGATTTGCTTTGCTGTTCTTTCCAGAACTTAAAAATAATTGAGAAATGACCTAAACAGTACCAGCATCTACAGATACAATGTGGCTAATCTAACAGGGCAGCCACTAATCTCTGAGTACACAGAACTTCTGATTATTACATAAACTCTCCGGGATGGGATGGCAGGCAATGTGATTAAAGTAGTTATGGAGATCCCAGTTTACAAAGGATTTTCTGGGCCCTGCGCACACAGCTGCCGCAGGCTCCCTGTGTGGACCACCTGCTAAAAAGGCTGACCCCTGAATGAAACAAATCTAATTACTGATGCCTGTTTCAGGACAAGGGACTTGTCCCACAGTTCCCGCACAGGGAAGTAGAACTTGCAAGCCTCTGGTGACCTGCCTGCTACATCTCACCCAGAGAAACTTTACCCTGGAAACGTGAACAAGGGAGGCAGTCCCAGGCACTAAACACTAAAAGGCTCTTTTGTAGTCCTCAGGAAGAGATCTTTCTGATCTCACAGATAGCTTTTCAGCCACATGCTTTCCAAAGGCTTCTTCGAGCCATCCTCGGGAAAACTGTACGACATTTTACTGGGGAGGCCAGGGAGCAGTCACACCGACAGCCAGGCGGGGAGGCCTACTCCTCGGAAATGTAGGCCCTTAGCAACCCTCTCTTCATCCGTGGCTCAGAAAACTATACTATTAAAGATCAAAGTAGTCATCACTCCCTCTCTAATACGTAGCAAACAGAAGACACGATTCTCCACATGCTAGGCACGCGTAATACTGCTCTCCCCGCCACCCCAAACAAGTCAGCGTTTCTAATTCTCCCTGCTGCACACCCAAGTAGAGTGGTCACTATGAACATAAAAAAAAAATACTTATGTCGCTCTGTTGCTCTGAAGGGTTTCGTGGGAATTTCTTTAAGCTATATTTAATTTGAAAAATAAATATTAAATCCAGACCAGGAAAGGGGGGGGGGGGAGCAGAAGACAAGAGCCTGTGAGTGAAAGGGCAAAGTGGAGAGAGGCAGACAGCCCGGGGAGGGGGAGGGGCGCGCCCACAGCGAGCATTCGGCAGGGAAGGGTGACCTCTGTAGGCGCTGCGAACGAGCGTCAGCAGCAGCCACCACCAGGGCCCCAGCCCGAGCGGCGACGGCGCTCAGGACCCAGCCAGGCGCCTTCCGGCACCAGTAGGTGCCTGTAGATCCCGTGTGGCTGCAAAGATGACACGCCAGGGGAGCAAATACAACACCTTACATTAAAAAAAAAAAAAAAAAAAACCCCAAAACAAAAAAATTCTATACCAGATCAGATTACATCAAAGACGGCCGGCAGTAACTTTAAAACAAGGGCCTCCTGGCAACACGCAAAAATGTCTGCTTCTGGTCATTTACAGCTGTAAAAAAATTTTTTGCCCTTTCGAAGGGGAACGTGTTTGGTCACTTATGTTGGTGAATTCGAAATTTACCACTGGCATCTAAGAGAATAGATGCAATTCTTTGCTTACGGCGTAATTTCCAAATCAATTCGTTCATCTCTACTCTGAAGCCAGCCACCATCCATACGCTCAACTCCAATTAGGCCATTGATTTTGCTTTTAATCTCAAAGGTCTGCCTCCCAGGAGCCAGCCAGCGTCTCCACACTCTTCCAGGGCTGAGTCCAGAATCCCTCACAGCACTTTCTAGCCCTAAGTTGGAAGATGAGGTAATAGGCAGCACTAAGGTGCGGTTACCGGGACCATACCAAAGAAAGAATGGCTAGTATTTTCTAAATCCCGAGCGCACCCTGGGAGCTCAGACCTGAAAGTTAGTCTCAGGCCTGGTTTTCTTCCGGCAGTGCGCTTTGCTAAAAAGCAAGTCTGATCAAGGGACTCCCGACTCCCCAAATGCGAAGGCTGCAGCGTTGACTAGGTAGGGACCCGAGTTTCTCCAAAAGACGTCGTTAAAATTGAGCCAGCTACCCGGACCGCGCCGGGGCTACGCCACCGGTTCCGACGCAAAGGGAGAGGCGGACGTGCGGAGGGCTGGCAGCCCGAGTTCTCCGGCCGAGCCAGAGCACCCCGCGCCCGTTCCGGCTAGCGAGAAGACTCCGAGCCACGCCAGCTCCCAGACGCTGTGGGCTCAGGGTCCCCTCCCCAAAGGGACGTTCCACTGCCCCAGACCCCCGATTTCTGTCGCCTTCCCGCGAGGCCCCGGCCGGTGGCTCCCGCGCTTCTCGAGAGCGCAGCATCTCTGCCTGGCTCCGGAGCCCGCCAGTCGCTGCGCGTCTGTAGCCCCTTTAGTGGCGACGTCCTCCGTTCTCCAAAAAGAAGGGAGGGTCGGGTAGCGCCATCAGACACCTTTCCCGACGTGCCACCCGAGTCGCCAGGGCTTTGGGCACCCTCGAGCACTTGAGGTTGGAGCCCCAGGAAGAGGCCCTTGGAGCCGGCGCTCGCTAGTCCCCACCTAGAGAAATGTGACGGGGTGGGGGCTGGGGGACAGGAGCCTCAGGTTCTAGAAACAGGCTCAGAGGCCTCCTCCCTCCCGGACCATACGGCGTCCCCCCGGGTACCAGCCAGGGGTTCGGGGAAGAGGAAGGGATCGTGGACACCACTTACTTGGAGTTCGAGGAATTCCAGTAGATAGGCTCTAAAACTATCGATCTGGAGATCGCAGTTCTGCATAAAACCATCAAAAGTCCCCAACAGTACTTCCACACCGAGTCCCTCCTGGACCGGGCCATGGCCATGGCCAAGCAGCTCCCAGTTCTGCGCACTCCGGGTCGCGATGGGACCGGCCACGGGCCGCGACCCCCAATCCTCCGGAGCGGACGCGCCGCGCCGCTCCAGCGGTCGCCGAGGCCAGGTGCGCTTGCCCTGCGCGGCCCTCAGCGCGCGGGGTGGGGTCGAACGCACGGGGCGCGGCGGCTCGGCGGACTCGGGGCTCCGGGGCGCCGCGCCGGACGCAGCTGGGACGGCCGGCTCCCGTGCGGCTCCAGGGTGCCGGGCCAGCCGCGGAGAGCGGGCGCGGCGGGGGCGCTGGGCTGGGACAAAGGCCCGCAGCGGAGAGGCGAGTCGGCGTGGGGTGGCGGGTGCTGCTCCCTGAGAGGGGCCGCTTGACTATAGATCCAGGGCAGTGGGCAGCGGCCCGGGCAAATGGGCGCCGCGTCGGCGCGGTTCCATATTCCGGAGCGCAGAGAGAGGAGAGGAGAGAGAGGGAACCTCCTGAATCCTCGCAGGTCGAGGCCCGCCAAGCAGGCAGGAGGGCACTGGGACCCCCGCGGGCGCCGGACGCGCGCGGGCCTTTGTGTGCGGGGAGGGCGCCGGGACCCGCTATGCGCGCAGCTCCGCGATCAGACCGGCACCGCCGTCCCCGCCGCGGAGAGTCAGCGCGCCGAGCGCGCTGTCAGAGCACTATAAACGCGGGGCCCCGCCCAGTCGCACGCAGCCCATTGGCCTGCCGCTCCACGAGTGCGCACGGATTGGACAGCACGCCCGTCCGTCCGCCGCCCACCCGACCCCGGGCACCGCGAGGTGGGGCGCCGCTGACAGGTGAGCCCCGCCTCCGGGATGAGCAGCGCTGGGCGCCGAGGACCGCGCACGAGTGGCCCTGTGCGGCTCAGGGCGCAGGGTTAGCCGCCTCAGGGCCACTGGTGCCCGCGCCCCCGGGGTCGCCTTGGCCCGCAGCCGCCGGGGCTGACGAGCGTCGGGAGTCTTACTGCTCTAGCTTGGGTAGAGCGAGGGTCCTGCGAGCGGCGCTGCCCCCGGATGCCGCGCCGAGGCCCTTCGCGGATGCCTTCGAAGCCTCAAATTGAGGGCCTCCTCTGATTCAGGCACCAAGTGATCGGCCCGGCTCGACACAAGTTCAAACTGACTGTGGCTGGGCAGCGCGAACCTTCTAGGCCACCGGCTAGGCAGTGCTAGTCGTCAGCCGCCCATCCCGACCCCGCGCCCCACTCCGTGCGTCCCGCGCCTTCGGCGTTGGCCCGCTCCCCATTTCCGGTCCTCTCTCTTTGATGCTCCCCGCTCCCCTTCCCCGCTTCCCGCCACCCAAAACTCCACCGCTGACGTCTGAGTAGGTTTTCCTTCACTGGGTGCCGGGAGACCCCTCGACCCCACAGTGGCCGGAAAGTTTGGGGTGACCCGGACGACTATCAGTTAGAGCAGAAGTGGTAGCAGTTCTTTGAGCCTTGCTAGCCCAAGACCGGGTTTGAGAACCTGGATGTCGGTGACTTCCACGGATCCACAGCGCCCACTAGCGCTCACTTTTGCCCCTCTGTATTTAAGAACACGCCTACCGGATCAAAATCTAAGGAATGGATGAGATACTCCCAGCTCAAAAACACTTGCTTAACGCGCCCCACAGCAGGGACAGCACGGTAGGCAAAAGGCAGAGTCCCATGGACAGTCCACCGTGCGATAAAAATCAGCCACGTGCTCTTAAATGCTGTCTGCCAATACCAGAATTTCTTCAAACGGAACCAGGCAGCCTTCACACCTATTTAACAGAATTCCCTTCCAGTTAAATATTAAAAAGGGAACATGGCTTTGTTACTGTCTAGCATCTCTCCCTTCATCATTCTTTGTAACAAATTCGGAATTTTTTAAAAGGTGCTGACTTTCAAGTTTTAATTTAATGTGTACTGTAACTAGAGTTGGTTTGGAAAAACTAAAATCTAAGACCAAAAGACTAGAACACTCACTATGGAATGGGCTCACTCTCCCAAACACAGCTTTAAGAAAGCCTTTTTAGTAATTACTATTTTTATGTAAGCCTGCAAAGTTGTGACTGAGGGTGAGGTACTGAAGTCTGAACCGAGGGACTCCCGATAGGCAAAGAACACACACACAGCACACAGCCAGCCAGCCCTGGGAATAATTGTTTTTTTAACTTCATGATGATTCCTGGAAAATTGGCAGCAAGGTTATTTGGACTTTAAAGGAAAAAGAAAAAAAAACACTTATTTTAGATTTTACTTAAGGAATTCATAGAAATCTAATGTGAAGTTAACGTTTTAAGTCATGGTTTGAAGGGATTTTCAGTATGTTATGAAATTTAAGTTGTGCCCTCTTAGCTCCCCTTACATCCTCTCTGGTAAACTAAAGAAAGGAAATTTGTAATGTCTGAAAATATCCCAGCTTCCAAAAATACCATTTTCAGTTAGCCAGATACTGACACCCAGCTTTTCACCTTGAGAACAATGTAAATATACTTTTAAAAAGTCACACACAAATATTCCTACAGTGTGACTTTCCCCGGTTACCTTCAGTGAGCAGACACCTGTGATCATAAAGGCAGGAATTGCAAACTTAACATTCTGGTTCTCAACTGTTTATCCAGTCATTTTGAAAATTAAAATGTAACCTCAAGCCATTCGTATCTATTGGTACATCTATCATAATCCCGGACAAAAAATGTGGTGGGGTTATGTACAAAAGATAATTGTAGAAGGAAATTGTAAAGCACGGCCATCCCAATCAGTGTAATTAATGCCCCTGCCTGGAACCTCATTTTACAAATAAATTCTGGGTTTGTTTTGAAAACAGGACACGACTCTATGCCAAAGGACAAGTACTTCGGCAGAGGAAGTTACCGATTTCTGTAACTAAGGAAGTTTCTCAAGTCAGTAAGACAATCTATTATAAAAGTGAATATAAATGATTTCTTGGAGGCAGCAACACTGAGTTTCTGAAAGGCCAATCTATAAGCAAGCAAAAATATACCTTAGTTAGGCCTTACACCCAATGCTAAACAGTTTGGTCTTCCGACAGATCTGTAACGTGACCAAAATGAAGGATCTTAATCATTGCCTCTTCGATTTGGAGAGGAAATAACACAACCTGCAGATGCTGAAATGAATCCTATTTCCTAAAGTGAACTGAGCAGTCTGGAGGCCCATCGATGATTCATCAATCAAACTGTGTCAGGTGCTATGGTGGACATACAAAGCTGGGCTCACTCTACACAAGGTCTCTACTCTGTGAGCTGATCAGATATTTGGTTAAGAACAAAAAGCCAATGTCACTGTAATTTCAAGCCTGGACTCACTGGGACCAGCAGCAAGGAAATGAAGGGAGCCTCTACTTTGAACTCACAAACCCTTCTGCCCTTCTCACAAAAGGCCCAAGAGAACCTCTGACAAACCAGTCCCATCTGTCAATTAACCAAAGCAAAGGGCCATTGGCTAAGAAAGGAGAACCATGCCACTAGCACATGTGCAGTGAGGACTCTTCCTAGCATGGCAGGTACTCACGTGTTTAACCTGCTGTGTCAAACTGCTGTCATCAACACGCACTGCTCTTTAATTTACTGGTTTCACTCAAGTTTTTTTTTTTTTTTAAGTATAAAAAACACCATCATTCCCACATCCTCCGACTACTGATCTGAGGACTGGGGAAAGAATAATGCTCTTTTCAAACTGTATCAATCCAACAATGACTGGAGTATAAAAGATATGTTTCTAATTTGCAGAGCACTCTAATATACAGAAAACAAACACTGGTATTTGTTTTAAAAAGAACAGGGGAAGGTGTTCATCATACCTTGAATCCTCTGTACTCTGCCCAGCTGGTGCTGGTTCACAAATCACCTCCTCTAGTAACCATAACCTCACTGTACACCACACAAGAGGAAGAGCATCCCAATCATGCCAAGCAAGTGGCGACTAGCTACAGAACATGGTGCTGTGCATTAGCCAAGGCAACCAACATCAGCATGCCAGGTTCCCTCACAACTCACCTCTAAAAACCATCAACAGATGTCACAGATGCAAGGGAACCAAAGACCAGTCGAACAGCAGCTGAACAAATGGAAAGATGAGCTATCTTCTGCGGGAGAACACCTATGCCCCCTCCCCGTCTCTGCCCTTCAGCAATACTTGATCAAGTATTCACATGTCCGCTGGAGCAGGTGGTGACTGTGAAGTGCACACATGGCTCCGGAGACAGCAGCATGGAAAATGTTCATTAAGTGACAAACCGAACATCCTACTCATCTAGGAAAGGAGGCCACACAGACACAGGCAGGTCGGCAAGTGTGTGCACACACAGACACAGGCAGGCCGGCATGTGTGCACACACAGAGGCAGGCCGGCATGTGTGTACACACACACACACAGACACACACACAGAGGCAGGCCGGCATGTGCGCACACACACAGGCAGGCCAGCATGTGTGCACGCACACACACGTTCGCACGCCAGGAACATACACTATTATAATTAAGTGACCAAATCGTTATTCAGAACAGCAACAGGCTCATTTGCTGCATCCTAAGGGAAACTATAGTCCTTGCCTAAGGTTCCCTTCCCCTACTTGAAGCATTGAAGAGTCCTCACACCAGGCTAATTTAAAGGTTTAGTTTATACAGTCAAGAATTCTGCAAACTCCACAATATTAAGGGCAATTAACTACAAATGTTAACTACTATAGTAAAAATAAACAATCAATAGTTAATTCTGTAATGCATCAAAAAATTCAAATAACTCAAGAAAACAAAACTGGGAATTAAAGGCATATTTAGTAAATTAGGGAACATTTGAACTGATAATTGATTGTGAAAAGTCTTAGCTTTTATAATATGTACACAAAAGCAGTGGAAAAAAATGAAGAAACAATTTACTACATTGTTGTAGCACAGTCAAAGGTGGGGTGCATATCATTAACAATGACATCTTCTTTCCTGTAGCCTGGCGGACAGCAACAGTTACCAAGCACAGGAACAATTCAATACCTAGGAGTCTCCAGCAGCACACACTGTAGGAGAAGAAAACCTAATGACAGAATAAAAGGCACGGAAAGGCTGATCAAGTATTTGAGGCCCAGGCTCCTCTTTAGATACAGTGCCTACAACACTAGCAGAGCAGAAGCAGCTTTTGACAAGCACTTCCAAACACTGGATACACAACCGAGGAACAATGAATCTCAATTGAAATAATTTGACCTAACTTATGTATTATAATCTATTCAGGTAAAGAAGCAAACGTGTATTTAGAGTGCTAGGCATTTTGTTTACTAAAACCTTGCTATAACCTCATGCCTACTTAAAATTCTAACATTCTTCTTTACCGTATCGAAGAATTGATTTTCCAAAGCATGCAAATACAAAATAATCTACCATTTCATCATTTCAGGCAACATTTCCAATGTTAAACTATGATAGGACTGTCTCTAGGGACTGGGTTCTCCACTATATCATGCCTATGCACCTCTGATAGCATTTTATAGCCTTTCCTTGAGTGTTTAACACTAGTAAATTTCAACAAATCAAAAAAAATTAAATGAGGAAGAATCTACTGAATAAAACCCAGTGTTATCTCTAAGTTTCCACATGCAAAAATGTCCAAACAAACAAAAAAGTTAATTTAAATGTGCTTATCCTCCAAATAAACATGCAAAATGAAGGTTATTTTAGTCATTCTGAACATAAAAAAACAAGTTCTATCTGATAGTCCACCCTAAAGTCATCTAATATTCCATAAATTTTAAAAACATACTTTCTAGTGTTAATTAAGTATAATTTGCGGCAATAATATTTATTTTCTATAACAGAGGCACAGGTTTAGGATTTTTCAAAGATAATACTTGATGTTTGAACTCTTATCAGCATATAGTGTCTGTAAAAATAGCCAGTAGTACCAATTCACAAGTTTATTTATTCAGTGGACATAGAAACCTTGTGGAAAATATAAACCAGGGGAAATCTAGTACAGTTCCAAGGCTTCTAAAAGTAAACCACCCTTTAGACTTAACACAACTTAAAAAAAAATTGCTTAAACATATGAATTTAAGACTTTACTTTATTCAGCAAAATCATTTATTTACAGTGGGGAATGCTGGTTTGACTTGTCAATGAAAGAAACAAAAGTCCAACAGAGACAATACTGCACTGCAGGTGCTTCTGTAGCAGGTGAGCAACTGTTATCCTTACCTGTTATCGGGAACACCAAGAGCCACAGCATCACAAGGACACTGCTGTGACACACACCACACAGCTCCAGCACAACCCTGGGAATTTTGCAATGCAATTACCAACTTTTTCTTTTTTTATAAATGTATAAAAAAACAAAAAGTCAGCAACACCAGCATTAGGACGTAGTAAACAGAGTATAACCCCGAAGTCAGTGGTCAGTGAACACCTTACCAGACCAGCTAGTCACCACGTGACCTGCTCAATGGCAGACCACCAACCAGTACAGAATCCCAACAGGTGAAAAATACACCACTTCTAAAAAACAGCAATGATCTGATAAGGATTTGACATAATGGAGGAGAGGGAAAAATAAAGGGATTGCAGAGCATAGCCCCTATTAGAACAAGCTAACTTTCCAGATTCTCCAATTAAAAAAAATAAACAAACAAAAACAAAAAACCACTTCAACATGAAGCTACAATACGAAGTTTTTTCATTTTCCTTTGTAAAAAGTTCAGAGTTTGCCGCTCAGTCCTGGGTTTTTAGCGAGAAGGACAGTTTTGGCCTGGACTTCCCCTTGCCCAGGATAATTTTTTGTTCTTCTTTTTGTTGACGTTGTCGTTCTTGTTCTAGTTTCATCCTTTCCTCATGAATCTTTCTTTGTTCTTCAACAATTCTCAACTGTTCTTCAGCCTAAAAGTTAAAATAAGAACAAGATCTGTCATTCCTTTCTCTCAGTATCTTCGGTTACCAGGTCACAATCTACAACCTACATACACCAGGAAAGACTTCCTTAATTAACTCTACATATTTGATCTATTTCAAGTTTATGAAAATCGAATTTTATGGACTTCATGCCTTGAGCATAGACTTGATTCTGTCTTTATATTTATTACCAAGAGTAACAGTTATCTAAAGCAAAGGCACAGACTTAGTCCCGGGGTACATTATCTACCCAATCAATGTATTTATAATTAGATAGACATATACAAGAACTGTAGTTAAAAATTTCCACTTTATTGTATACTCAATAGTAACCAAGAATTTACCCAGGTGGTGGTGGTGGCACACATCTTTAATCCCAGTACTCAAGAAGCAGAGGCAGGTAAACCTCTGAGTTCAAGGCCAGCCTTATTTACAGAATGACTTCCAGGATACCCAGAGAAATCCTGTCTCAGAAAATAAAAAGGAATTTTTCTATGTCTCAATTCCTTGGGAGAGAGAAAAAAGTACCAAACGTTTTGACCTGATTATAAAATGCTATTTTAATTTCACATTGGCTGCAGTATCAATTCCTGAAGTCCCTTTATTGCCTTTAATCTCAAGCAACTGGCTTTTCCTCTCTCCAGGAAATGCCCCTGGCTACCATGAAAAGTAAAGCTATTCTCACAACTCATCAGGACTCCCCTCCTGACCTTCTGAAGACCACGCACACCTCTATTCTCAGGGGTCATCTCTGCCTTTATTATTATTATTAGAGTGGGACAAAGCGTGACAACTGCACAACAGAGTCAGTCACCCTCCCTGAACCTAAGCAACACCGTTAGTAAGAAAGGCTGTTTTAACTCCTGAATGTCTGTCAGTCACCACCACATCCTCCCATTTTTACTATGATCTAAAACTTGCACTTTGTCCTTCCTGCCTTCCTGCTCAAAGTTCCATTTGAAGTCATTGCTTCTTTCTCCTTGTTTTACTTAAACTGTTAATCAACACTGAACCCACAACTGACTCCTCCAGTCTCGATGTCCTCTCCCCACAGTCAACAGTCTCCACATGTCCTCACTTCTCTGCTGCAAATGAGGCCAGGCTGGAGGCCTATAAGGGACTATGTTGTGGGACACATGCGAAACGATGTCACCTGAGTATCGAAATGGACAGAGCCATGGGGTAGGAAGGCAGACAGGTAGAGGTACAGCCCAGAGTCCTGTAAAACCTTTGCAGCAGCCTGGTAAACATGGTGCCTCTCACCCCAACTCTAGACTTCAGATTTAATTTTTTCTGCCCTTTCTTAAAATAAGTCCATCCTTTCTGAGGGTCGAGTTCTTTTCCCCCTTTTCTAATCTTGAAAATTATTTATTTATTTATTTAGTGGGTGGAGAACACCACAGCATGACTGCACAAGTCAGAAGACATCTTATAGGCATCAGCTTTTTCTTTCTATCATGTGGGATCTGGAGATCAAACAGACCCAGGCCATCAAGCTTCATGATTAAGCACTTTACCCGCCGAGCCATCTTCTGGCCAATCCCTGCCCCCACTGTTTACTTGAATCTTACAAGTAAGCAAAGACTCCAACTCAAGTGGCCTGCTAGGAGCTCTGTCCTGTCCTCCCCGCACAATAATCTATCAGCTGTTCAAGACCAAGGTGTCCATTCTTTTATTCTCTCTCTGGCTTTAAAGTATTTTCAACTCTGCTGTCACCATGCCTGTTCCCTGTGCACCTCAAATGGTGAGACTGCTCCCATTGTACACAGTACTAAGAGATCCCTTTGCCTTCAAATGTCCAGTGATTTCTATAGGAAATGAAAATTCCAGCTGAACTTCCAAAATTACTCTGCTCTGCAAGCGGCCAGACTGCCACTAAACCCTACCTACACACTTCCTTCCAATCACCACCTTCCCTAGCTTTACTAATGATCACAACACAAAAAGAATGAGATATCTGAGGCTGAGGAGACGGCTCCTTGGATAAAACCTTTGGTAAGGACTGCCACTCAGATAATCAAAACCCACACATAGATGCCAAGCAGGTGTGGAGGCAATCCACAAGCTGCTCCTGGATCACTGAGTTAAGTCACACCATGTCAACTTCAGACCTTTACGTTGTACATGTGCACACACCCCCCATCACTTCTAAAACTTTAAGCTAGCTGGATGGCAGTGGTACACACCTTTAATCCCAGTACTTGTGAAGCAGAGGCAGGTGGATCTCTGTAAAATTAGAGGCCAGCCTGGTCTACAAAGTGAATCCAAGAGTAGCCAGAGCTACACAGAGAAACCCTGCCTCAAAAAGACGAACAAACAAGCAAGCAAACAAAACCTTTATGCCAACTATCCACATCAAACATGTGCTTGGGGTGCCAGCACTAGATACTGAACAAAGGTGCATGTGTGTTCACGCACTTGGAAAACCTTTGGCAATGTAAACACAGGCTTACTCCTATCCACTTGACCCTAGTAAAGCCTTAGGACTGTTTGAGCTGAGAGTCAAAAGGACAGCCTCAATACATGAAAGCTCACTGACATCACAGATGCAATTCCGATCCCATCAAAGCTTACTGAAGAGCAGTTTGATTCATCAAAACTACCTTTATAATAAATTAATTCAATCATTTCAGTTCCTGAAATTTCATTCATGAATACACCTGTAAACATGCAAAATTTTTAATTACTGTGTGTGTGCAGCCGGGTAAGTCATGATGCTCTCCTCAACGGTTTCTTCACCTTGCTTTTGGGACTGCCTCTCACTGGGTCTGTAGCTAGAGGCTGGGCCACGATGGCTAGCCAACAGACTCAAGGATAGTTCTTGTCCTTATCTCCCTGGCTGAGATTACAATTGTGTTGTAGGACACGCGCTGTGCACTTGGGTAACATTCAGGTCTTCACATTTACGCAGCAAGCTCTTTTCTGACTAAGCCATCTTCCTAGACTCCCAGATTCTTATTTCTACAGGGGTATTTATTTTATTTTAACAATTTGGAAAAGGAAATGATGAAGGCTAAATAATCTATACAAGATCTTTAAAAAAACAAAGCTGGTGGCCTGAGAAATGCTTAGCAGTAAGAGCAGCGGCTACTTTTCCAGGATTCAGGTTCAGTTCCCAGTACCTATGACTCGAGTCTCAGAGGACTGGATGCCCTCTTCTTGTTCTTGGACAATAAACCCATGTGGTACACAGACACATTCAGGCAAACATTCATATAGATAAACAGAGTATTTTTCAAAAGCAACAACAACAAAACAAAAACAAGGGAGAAAGTTCTGGGGGTAAAGTGCTCACTGTGCAAACACGAGGGTCTCGTGTTACAAAGTTGGGTTCAGTGACTAGCCCACATCAGCACCGTGCTGGGCAGTCATCGTCTATCCAAAATGGTTAGTACCACATTCACCGAGTCACCCTGTCTCACAGTGATAGAAGGACTTACGTGTAAGATACCCAGTGTTGACCTCTGGCTTCCATGTGCTCCCCCCAAAACAATATCCAGAGAAATAAAAAAAAGGGGGGCCTGCACATTCTGAAACAGAACTCTTCAATATATATTAGGTGAAAAAGGAAAATAGCAAATAGCAGCAGAGGATCTTACTTTTGTGTTTTTGTGTAATCAAGAGAGAATAAAACTACAACATATCCATATGCTAAATACGCATTTCAAAAACTCTGGAAAAACAAACAAAGAAAAAATAACTGAAGTCACCTTTGAAAGTAAAGGATGGAGCCAGGTGGTGGTGGTACATGTCTTTAAATTCCAGCAATTGGAAGGCAGAGGCAGGTGGATCTCTGAGTTAGAGGCTAACCTAGTCCAAAAGAAAGAAGTAGTTCCAAGACAGGCTCCAAAGCTACAGAGAAACCCTGTCTCAAAAAAACAACATAAATAAATAAATAAAATAAAATAAAAAAAGAAAGTAGAGGATGGGAAGTAGACAAATGAGGTAAGGTATGAAATTAGCTTTGCTTAATAACCAAGCAAAACAGAACTTTAAATGTAATCACATTAAACAAGCAAAAATTCAATAGCCAAAGTTTGTCTTCAATACTACACTGGGCTCGAGTCTCGGCTGCAGTAGGAACTGCTGCACGGCCCGGGCATCACCTAGTAATGGACTATCTCTAGCTAGAAGCACAGACAGCTAGAAGCCTTACTGTTCAGTGCATTAGCACATAAGCCCATGTATTCACATTTGTTCTTTATGCTAGTGCAGTTAGCTTCACATTTCTTGATAAATTTACATCATCTCTCACTTTTAATACCCAGACTCACCAGTGATGGAAAACTAATCTGTCATCCATATATCTGTCAGCCTGGTGTCAATCCAACACCTTACTTGCTAGGTATTTCCTAAGTCCTGACTTCCCACCCCAGTAGACACCTCTTGTCCTCTCCTCTCCTCTCCCTCGTGCCCCGCGTGATGAGAACTGTAGTATCTGCATGGGGAAAAGAGGAGCACAATATGCTGCTTATTCACAAGGGTTATTCTGTGCACACCGGAGAGGCCAACAAGATTAGTGTCTACTACACTACAGTCATTAGACCACTGTTTCTGGCCATTCTGCCCAGAACTCTGCATCTCATACCCTTGAGTGGCTGGTGAAAAGTCAGAAAACTAAAAGGATCTGTCTCCATGTAGGGCCTGGCTGCTCCTCCCAGCATCTTAGATACCATCTAGTTTACCACAGCCTAGCGCAACATAATCAATCAGTATTCTCCTTCGTGGACTTTCTAACCTCTTTAACAATCTAAAGAAAGAAAACACCTTTTATGGTAGTGATTAAAAGGACAAGGGGTAAGAAAATGGAGAACTGCAGCCACAGGCACCGTGCCACTCAGAAATGTGGACTTCCACTGTAAGTCCTCTAAGAAACAAGGCCTGACCAGCTCTGCCATTTCTAAGTCTAATGACTTCATTTATTTTCCTTCCTGGAACATATATACTAATGCATACCTTGTTTTCACAACAAAAAAGGAAATGTTTTA